TCTATGGAGGACCTGTTGTCGTTTATCCAATTGAACCTCGCCAAGCCGTTAGCGTCTGGCTTTAACACGGCCAATCCAGCGTTCTTGGGCTACGTCGTTGGTGGGGTGCTACCTCAGGCCAACGTGTTGGACTACTACATCCACTCGGTCGACGCCATATCGATCGCATGGCACACTGCTCCGTTCCTCACTCGCCTCGAATCGAACGTGATCCAATGGTTCGGGCACATCGCCGGCTACCCCCGCCACACGTCGTTTGGTATTTTCTCGGAAGGTGCTAGTACTGCCAACTTCAATGCGACCGTCGTCGCGCGGCAAAAGAAGTTTCCGACATCGGAAAACCTCCACCTTGCAACCATGTACTGCTCGAGCGCTGCGCACTTTTGCGTGTCGCGCGCCGCCCGGATGGCTGGCATTGTGCCGACGAATTGCCGATTGATCCCTACCGACCCCGCGACGGGCAGCCTGTCGGTAGCCGCGCTAGAGGCGCAGCTGCAAGCGGACGTAGCCGATGGGTTGGTGCCCTTCCTGCTCGTGGCGACTATAGGCACCACGTCGCTTGGAGCGATGGACAATGTCGGCGCCATGGCTGGGCTGGCCAAGCAGTATGCGTGTCATTTGCACTGCGACGGGGCCCTGGGGGGGTTCTTTCTCCTCACCGAACGCGGCCAACAACTCATGCCAGATGTGGCCTTATCTGACTCGGTTTGCTTTGACTTTCACAAGGGGATGGGGTTGCCGAGTGCTACGTCGCTGCTCGTGGTCAAGGACAGACACGACTTGGTGGCCGCCTTTGGATCGTCCGACGAGATGGAGTACGTCAAGCAGGTGACGACGGCGGCGACTCAGCGAGTTAATTCAAGTCCCCACCCCCACACAGCGCACAAGTTTACGTTTTGTACGGAAAGTGAATTCGACGCGGACTTGGTCTCGTTTGCCGACTGCAGCCCCGACTTGTCCAGGGCGGGCAAGGGGCTCAAGGTATGGTGGACCATCAAATTGCATGGTCTGGATGCGTGGACAGCGCACTTCAACCATTTGCTTGACATGGCCGAGGCAGCGCGAAGTGAGCTCGCCGCGCTGCCTGGGGTGGAGGTCACGGTGGGACACTTAAACGTTGTGACGTTCCGAGCCTCAGCCAATGGCAAGTCTGTCGCTGAATGCAACAAGGACACCAATACCCTCTTGGCTCGTGTAAACGCACGGAACAATGTTTACCTCTCCACGGCATCGACGGTGGACCAGGACGGCCACAAGTACGACACGTGTCGCGCGTGCTTTCAGCATGTCAATATCTCGCTCGGAACGGTCGAGTTGTTGCTGACTGAACTGCGCGAGTGCCTGTGCCCGTAGAATAAACATCGTCATATTAAACCTCAAACTTGGGATGACATTTCTCGCAAGTTGGATTGTCCTCGCCATGCGGGGATAGACATCTCTCTACAAACAAATAATGTCGAGAAGATGAG